AAACTTTGCATAAGAGAAGGAGAAAAGAAATGAGGGGAGGAAGAGCAAAAGGAGAAAGAGGAGGAGGAGCAGGGAGAAAGAAAAGGAGGACAGATGGAAATTAGAGAGGAGAGGGAGGAAGAAGAGAAGAGGAGACAAGAAAGAAAGGACAGATGAAAGTGACAAAGGAGTGCGAAGAGGAACAAAGGAAGAAGGAAGGAGGAAGAAGAGGAGAAAGAGGGAGAGAAAGTGAGAAAGAGAAAGGAAGAGAAAGAAGAGAAGTAGGAGAAAGAAGGAAGAGAAGGGAGAAAAGGAGGACAGATGAAAATTAGAGAGGAGGGGGAGTGCGAGGAGGAAGAAGAGGAAGAGGGGAGAAGAAAGAAAAAGAGGGAGAGGATGAAGAGGAATAGGAGAGAGGGCGGGTGATGAGTAACCCCCCCCCTCGCTGTCAAAGGCCTTGTGTGTGTTTGGGGGGGGGCTTCAGGCGCTCCCCCTTTCTCTCCCGACTCAGACAACCCTCCCCTTCGCTTCCACTTCTCGCCTCAAACCTAGACAAGAAGCAACAGCAGCCATACAAATTAATTTTTTATTATTATTATTATTATTATTATTATTATTATTATTATTATTATCTTTATTAGAGAGTCTTCCACGCATGCGCAGACGCTGGCCCCCAGAACACTCGTGGCCGTTGGCAAAGCGGGTGAAGGGACAGAAGGGAAAGCGCGGGAGAAGTCTCTTTCTGCTGTTACTCTTTGAAGTGGCGGGCAACTTCTGTTCATAGAATCCTAAAGTTCGTAGAACCGTAAAGAGCCATCCGGTCCAACCCCATTCTGCCACACAGAACATTGCAGGAGTCTAGCGTATACCATGCAGCTGTGGATAAGTCTGTGAAAGCCAAGACAAGCTGTGGGAAGCCCTGGCCCTTGAGTGCTCCAGCTGGAGGTCAGCTGTGACCAGCAGTGCTGTAGAATTTGAAGAGGCACAAATGGAGGGCGAAAAAGAGACACATGCCAAGAGGAAGGCGCGTCAAGCCGTCACATGCAACTGCTAGAATGATTCCGTCAGCCTTGCCTCCGAAAAATCCTGAAAATCTCTTGGAAAGACAAGCGGACAAATGTCAGCGTGCTGGAAGAAGCAAAGACCAACAGCACTGAAGCAATGGTCCTCCGCCATCAACTCCGCTGGACCGGCCACTTGTCTTCTGCCGCCTGTGGCACCAACTACTGCTCTGGCCAGAGCGAAGACAGAGGGGAGCAGAAGACATTTCCATCTTGTCTTTACCAATAATATAATGTAGTATATTGTATATCCATATAATATTTATAATATTATAATGTAATACAATATAATACTAGTAATAATAATACAATATTATAATTATATATTTACATTACATGTAACATTACAAATAATATTACAATATAATGCTATAGTGCAATGTAGTAAGATATAATATTGATATTGTACTATGCTAATAATATAATATATTGTATGAAAGTATATATTGTAAGCTGCTCTGAGTCCCCTTCAGGGTGAGAAGGGTGGTATATAAATGCCGTAAATAAATAAATATTCTGGATGCCCGACCACCGTCTCCCAAAGTAGTTGCTCTACTCCGAACTCAAGAACGAAAAATGGAATGTTGGTGGACAGGAAAAGAGATTTAAAGTTTGGCTCAAAGCCAACCTTAAAAACTGTGGCATAGACACTGAGAAGTGTCTATGCCACAGCATCGAATTGTGCCTCGGATATGTAAGCCGCCCTGAATCCCCTCCGGGGTGAGAAGGGCGGGGTAAAAGTGAACCAAATAAATAAATAAATAAATAAGTGGGAAGCCCTGGCCTGTGAGCACTCCAGCTGGAGGTCAGCTGTGACCAGCAGTGCTGTAGAATTTGAAAAGGCATGAACAGAGGGCAAAAGAGAGAAACGTGCCAAGAGGAAGGCACGTCAAGCCAACCCTGACTGGGACCGCCTTCCACCTGGAAACTGATGCCCTCACTGTGGGAGAAGATGCAGATCAAGAATAAGGCTCAACAGCCACCTACGGACCCACCACCAGTACACTACAATCTACTCTTCACTATTTTATCAAGATTTGTCATTACTCTCCTCCCAAGAAGTAAACGTCTCCTGATTTCCTGGCTCCCTCTATTTCCCAGTTGTCAATCATTCTTATTGCCATAATCTTGGTTTTTTATGTTTAACTGCAACCCAGCTTTTGCACTTTCTTCTTTCACCTTGATTAGAAGGCTCCTCAGCTCCTCCTCACTTTCGGCCATCAAAGTGGTGTCATCTGCATATCTAAGGTTGTTAATGTTTCTTCCAGCAATTTTCACCCCAGCTTGCATTCGTCAAGCCCCGCACATCGCATGATGTGTTCTGCATACAAGTTGAATAGGTTGGGTGAGAGTATACAACCTTGCTGTACGCCTTTCCCAATCTTGAACCAGTCTGTTGTTCCATGGTCAGTTCTTACTGTTGCTCATACAGACTATGGTATGTGTTATTGACTATTCTAAAGCCTTTGATTGTGTGGATCATAATAAATTGTGGCAAGTTCTTGGTGGTATGGGCATACCAAATCACCTTGTCTCTCTCCTGAGGAATCTGTATAAGGACCAAGTAGCAACAGTCAGAACTGACCATGGAACAACAGACTGGTTCAAGATTGGGAAAGGCGTACGGCAGGGTTGTCTCCTCTCCCCCAACCTATTCAACTTGTATGCAGAACACATCAGTGTGCGGGGCTTGACGAATGCAAGGCTGGGGTGAAAATTGCTGGAAGAAACATTAACAACCTTAGATATGCAGATGACACCACTTTGATGGCTGAAAGTGAGGAGGAGCTGAGGAGCCTTCTAATCAAGGTGAAAGAAGAAAGTGCAAAAGCTGGGTTGCAGCTAAACATAAAAAAACCAAGATTATGGCAACAAGAATGATTGACAACTGGAAAATAGAGGGAGAAAATGTGGAGACCGTGACAGACTTTGTATTTCTAGGTGCAAAGATTACTGCAGATGCAGACTGTGGCCAGGAAATCAGAAGACGCTTACTTCTTGGGAGGAGAGCAATGTCCAGTCTCGATAAAATAGTAAAGAGTAGAGACATCACACTGGCAACAAAGATCCGCCTAGTCAAAGCCATGGTCTTCCCTGTAGTAACCTACGGATGTGAGAGCTGGACCTTAGGGAAGGCTGAGCGAAGGAAGATCGATGCTTTTATTTATTTATTTATTTACTTACTTACTTTATTTGTATACCGCTCTTCTCAGCCCTTAGGCGACTCAGAGCGGTTTACAACAATTTAGGTATACACAATACAAAATCATTAAGCATTTAAAAGCAATAGCATCACAAATAATTAAACATCAATATCAATACATCACTACATCAATATAACAAATCCATCAGGTCTCATCAATGAAATCAGAATCCAAACTCGTTATCCGATATTCCGTGTTCCGATAGTCAGTCAATCAATCACACTGCTTAGTCGAATGCCTGTTCAAACAGCCAGGTCTTTACTTTCCTCGGAATGCCAGCAAGGAGGGGGTCGATCTAATATCTGCAGGAAGGGCGTTCCACAGCCGAGGGGCCACCACTGAGAAGGCCCTGTCTCTCGTCCCCGCCAGGCGTGCTTGTGAAGCCGGCGGGACCAAGAGCAGGGCCTCCCCAAACGATCTTAATGTCCTAACTGGTTCATAGGAGGAGATGCGTTCGGACAGGTAGGTCGGGCCAGAACCGTTTAGGGCTTTAAAGGCTAAAGCCAGCACTTTGAATTGTGCCCGGTAGCAAATTGCAGCCAGTGGAGCTGGCGCAACAGAGGAGTTGTATGCTCCCTGAGCACCGCTCCTGTTAGCAACCTGGCTGCTGCCCGTTGGACCATTTGAAGCTTCCGAGCAGTCTTCAAAGGCAACCCCATGTAGAGAGCATTGCAGTAATCTATACGAGATGTAACCAGAGAGTGGACTACTGTGGCCAAGTCAGACTTTCCAAGGTACGGGCGCAGCTGGTGCACAAGTTTTGAACTGTGGTGTTGGAAGAACATTCTGAGAGTGCTTTGGACTGTAAGAAGATCAAACCAGTCCATACTCCAGGAAATAATGCCCAGCTGTTCACTGGAGGGAAGGATATTAGAGACAAAGAGGAAGTACTTTGGCCACATCATGAGGAGACAGGAAAGCCTAGAGAAGACAATTATGCTGGGGAAAGTGGAAGGCAAAAGGAAGAGGGGCCGACCAAGGGCAAGATGGATGGATGGCATCCTTGAGGTGACTGGACTGACCTTGAAGGAGCTGGGGGTGGTGACGGCCGACAGGGAGCTCTGGCGTGGGCTGGTCCATGAGGTCACGAAGAGTCGGAGATGACTGAACGAATGAACAACAACATTGTATTGATGGCATCAAATTGTGCCGGGGGGTGAGTTTGTTTCGGGGGGGGGGGGGTGAGTCTGAGTGAAAGAGGGGCTACCCTAGCAAACCTTTTGTATCGTTACCCCAATACCCCCATGCATATGGGATATATTGAGTATGGTGATCAGATCATGATATGAATAAACATAACAGTTTAAATAATGCACCAGTAAGGCCTTTTCGCGGACCACCATGAGAATTTCGGGGGGGGGGGGGGGGGGTGAAGCCCCTCAAGCCCCCCCCCCCCCCCGCTCGCTACATGCCTGACAACAATAGGTTATGATCCTAACAGGTCATAATCCTCCAATAGTCCTCCAGTGGGCATGCAGCCTGCCTCCTCTTGCCCACTTTCTCCTGACTAATTGAGAGGCGGGACTAGGGAGGGGAGAAATCGGAGAAGCCCCCTTCCTTGATGATAGGCGGGCGCGAGGCCGGAAGGAATGCAAGGGGCAGCGGTGTTGGTTTTTTTTCTCTTTCTCCAGCACGCGCGCATTCAAGCTGAGCGAGCATAGTCGCGCGCCGCCCGCTCCCCCCTCCCCTCCCGCGACCGTTAACTGCCTCGCGCGCCCCACTAGCCAGTTGGTCCCTGAGGAGTAGCTCTTCGAAGAGCTAGCCGAGGAAGATGGTCCGCACCCGGCGCAGCCGAGGCAGAGGCGCGGCCGAGGCGCCCTCCTCCTCGCCTCCGCCTCCTTCCCAGGGCGGCGCTCCGCTTTCCCCGCCCCTTTCACCTCAGGAAGAGCAGCGGCCGGGCCTGGGCGCCGAGGGAGAGCCCCAGCGAAGCCTCGCCGGCCGCTTCTCCGCCGCCACCGTCTCCTTGGTCCGCGGGCTGCAGCAGTCGCTGGGGAGGCAGCTCCCCGGCGGGGCCTCGGCCATGGCGAGGGGCGGCGGCGGGAGAAAGGCGGCCAAGCACGACGCCCAGAGGCAGGAGAAGCATCCCTGCGTCTCGGCCTGGGGGCCCCGCGCGTGGCTTCTTGGTAAGAGGAAAAGAGGGGGAGGGAGGGAGTGCGTGCTCACGCCTACGCTGCTCTCCTGCTGAGAAGGGTGAGCTCGCGCCCAGGTCCCTGCAACTTCCTCCCATTGAACTACTTAATTAATTTCATTGATTTGTATCTCCCTTCCTCTCTCCATACTGAGACTCAAAGTGGCTCACAATCCCAAACATTACAACTTCAAATATACAACAACAACAGCAACATTTTATTATGGTCCAAAGACCCTTAAATATATAAACATCTATATAAATAAACATGTAATGTTCATTTGTGGAATTAACAGAACTCAAAAACCACTGGACGAATTGACACCAAATTTGGACACAAGACACCTAACAACCCAATGTATGTCCTTCACTCAAAAAAATTGAATTTGCCATTTGGGAGTTGTTGTTCATTCGTTCAGTCGTCTCTGACTCTTCGTGACCTCATGGACCAGCCCACGCCAGAGCTCCCTGTCGGTCGTCACCACCCCCAGCTCCTTCAAGGTCAGTCCAGTCACTTCAAGGATACCATCCATCCATTTTGCCCTTGGTCGGCCCCTCTTCCTTTTACCTTCCACTTTCCCCAGCATAATTGTCTTCTCTAGGCTTTGCTGTCTCCTCATGATGTGGCCAAAGTACTTCAACTTTGTCTCTAGTATCCTTCCCTCCAGTGAGCAGTCTGGCTTTATTTCCTGGAGGATGGACTGGTTGGATCTTCTCGCAGTCCAAGGCACTCTCAGAACTTTCCTCCAACACCACAGCTCAAAAGCATCGATCTTCCTTCGCTCAGCCTTCCCTAAGGTCCAGCTCTCACATCCGTAAGTTACTACAGGGAATACCATGGCTTTGACTAGGCGGATCTTTGTTGCCAGTCTGATGTCTCTACTCTTTACTATTTTATCGAGGCTGGACATTGCTCTCCTCCCAAGAAGTAAGCGTCTTCTGATTTCCTGGCTACAGTCTGCATCTGCAGTAATCTTTGCACCTAGAAATACAAAGTCTGTCACGGCCTCCACGTTTTCTCCCTCTATTTCCCAGTTGTCAATCATTCTTGTTGCCATAATCTTGGTTTTTTTGATGTTTATAGCTGCAACCCAGCTTTTGCGCTTTCTTCTTTCACCTTGATTAGAAGGCTCCTCAGCTCCTCCTCGCTTTCGGCCATCAGAGTGGTGTCATCTGCATATCTGAGGTTGTTAATGTTTCTTCCAGCAATTTTCACCCCAGCTTTGCATTCATCAAGCCCCGCACATCGCATGCTGTGTTCTGCATACAAGTTAAAAAGGTTGGGTGAGAGTATGCAGCCTTGCCGTACGCCTTTCCCAATCTTGAACCAGTCTGTTGTTCCGTGGTCAGTTCTGACTGTTGCTACTTGGTCCTTGTACAGATTCCTCAGGAGAGACAAGGTGGCTTGGTATGCCCATCCCACCAAGAACTTGCCACAATTTATTATGATCCACACAGTCAAAGGCTTTAGAATAGTCAATGAAGCAGAAGTAGATGTTTTTCTGAAACTCCCTGCCTTTCTCCATTATCCAGCAGATATTGGCAATCTGATCTCTCGTTCCTCTGCCTTTTCTAAACCCAGCTTGAACATCTGGCAACTCTCGCCTTACTGGTGCATTATTTAAACTGTTATGTTTATTCATATCATGATCTGATCACCATACTCAATATATCCCATATGCATAGGGGTATTGGGGTAATGATACAAAAGGTTTGCTAGGGTAGACCCTCTTTCACTCAGACTCAGCCCCCCCCCCCAAACTCAGCCCCCCCCAACCCCCCCTGAAATTTTTTTTAGCCCCCCCCCCCCGATATGATTCTATGTGTGTGTATATATATATCTATATATATATATAAAAATGCTCTGTGCATAATGAGTACCTTAAAAACAAAAGAACCAATGAACAAAATCACACCAAATTTGGCAACAAAACGTCTCACAACACAAGGAGTGACCATCACTCAAAAATTATGATTTTGTCATTTGGGAGTTGTAGTTCCTGGGATTTATAGTTCACCTACAATCAAAGAGCATTCTGAACTCCAACGATGGAATTGAACCAAACTTGGCACACAGAACTCCCATGACCAACAGAAAACTGGAAGGGTTTGGTGGGCATTGACCTTGAGTTTTGGAGTTGTAGTTCACCTGTGGACTCAAACAATGATGGATCTGGACCAAACTTAGAACTCAATACGCCCAAATATGAACACAGATGGAATTTGGGGGAAATAGACCTTGACATTTGGGAGTTGTAGTCAGAACTACCAAAAATACATAAGATACACCTGCAATATGAAGACACATCCCACAGTTCACCTACAATCAAAGAGCATCCAGAATCCCACAAACGACAGAATCAGGACAAAATTCCCGCACAGAACCCCCATAACCAACAGAAAATACTGAAGGCCATCCAGTCCAACTCCCTTTACCAGGGCAAGAAAACGTAATCAAAGCCCTCCTGACAAAGAGCCATCCAGCCATAGAGATAGATAGATAGATATGATTCACACACAGAGAGATATAGTATCATAGTATCAACAGACCAGGCCACAGCAACGCGTGGCAGGGAACAGCTAGCATCTATATAAAAATGCTCTGTGCATAATTAGTACCTTAAAAACAAAAGAACCAATGAACGAAATCACACCAAATTTGGCAACAAAACGTTTCACTACACAAGGAGTGACCATCACTCAAAAATTATGAATTTGTCATTTGGGAGTTGTAGTTGCTGGGATTTATAGTTCACCTACAATCAAAGAGCATCCTGAACTCCACCAACGATGGAATTGAACCAAACTTGGCACACAGTACTCCCATGACCAACAGAAATACTGGAAGGGTTTGGTGGGCATCAGGGCCGTAGCCAGAAAAAAAAATTGAGGGGTTGAATTTGTAGGGGGGGGGGGTTGAAAATTTCGTGGGGGGGGTTGAAACCTGCCTCCTAGCTCATGCTGAAGCAAAGAGCACAGCAGGGGGCAGAGCAGCCTTCAATAGCCTGCAGCTCCGCCCCTGTCAACCACCTCCACCAAGTCTGGCCTCCTTAATGAGAGCATTCAACACACACACCAACTTGGTTGCTTCACTACATCGGCTATTGCTGCAAGTAATGACAGTGTGAATAAATTGTCAATATTTGCCTGAGATAGTGCTTGTAGTTCTGGGGGGACTCTTAATTTTTTGCATCTCATAGACTTAGCATGGGGATTTGGTTAACCAGTTAAAATTCATGAGTAAACCAGGTTTTTTTTTTAAAAAAATCTGAAACATTTCGGGGGGGGGGGGTTGAACCCCTAAAACCACCTCCTCGCTACAGGCCTGGTGGGCATTGACCTTGAGTTTGGGAGTTGTAGTTCACCTACATCCAGAGAGCACTGTGGACTCAAACAATGATGGATCTGGACCAAACTTGGCACAAGCACTCAATGCGCCCAAATATGAACACAGATGGAGTTTGGGGGAAATAGACCTTGACATTTGGGAGTTGTAGTCACTGGGATTCACAGTTCACCTACAATCAAAGAGCATTCTGAACCCCACGAACGACAGAATGGGGCAAACTTCCCACACAGAACCCCATGACCAACAGAAAATACTTAAGGCCATCCAATCCAACTCCCTTCATCAGGGCAAGAAAATGTAATCAAAGTCCTCCTGACAGAGAGCCATTCAGCCATAGATAGATAGATAGAGATATAGATAGATAGATAGATAGATAGAGATAGATAGATAGATAGATAGATAGATAGATAGATAGATATGATTCACACACAAATATAGTATCATAGATTTGAAATGGACCCCTAAAGAAGGACAATTATATGTCGCATGTTCCCGAATAGGCAAACCAGACAATCTCCACATCAACATTGACATAGAAACAACAAGGAATCTGTTTACCCACAAGCATAAAGGAATTACATATATTAGAAGCCATTACTTTATTTTCCAGATCACCAGACTGGGCCACAGCAACGCGTGGCAGGGGACGGCTAGTATCTATATAAAAATGCTCTGTGCATAATGAGTACCTTAAAAACAAAAGAACCAATGAACAAAATCACACCAAATTTGGCAACAAAACGTTTCACTACACAAGGAGTGACCATCACTCAAAAATTATGATTTTGTCATTTGGGAGTTGCTGGGATGTATAGTTCACCTATAATCAAAGAGCATCCTGAACTCCACCAACGATGGAATTGAACCAAACTTGGCACACAGGACTCCCATGCCCAATAGAAAAGACTAGAACAGTTTGGTGGGCATTGACCTTGTGTTTGGGAGTTGTAGTTCACCTACATCCAGACAGCACTGTGGACTCAAAACAATGAAGGGCCTGGACCAAACTTAGCACAAATACTCCATATTGTTAACTGGTGCTCCTTACAGGGAGAGGTCAACCCTCCTGTTTAAGGAGCTCCATTGCCTGCCGTTCATTTACCGGTCCCAATTCAAGGTGCTGGTGCTTACCTACAAAGCCCTAAACGGTTTGGGACCCACCTACCTGCATGACCGCATTTCTGTATACAAACCCACACGATCTCTTCGATCTTCCGGAGAGGCCCTGCCCGCGATCCCACCTGCATCGCAAGCACAATTGGTGGGGACAAGGGATAGGGCCTTCTCTGGAATTCATTCCCCAAGGATATCAGGCATGCCCCGACGCTGGCAGTCTTTAGGAGGAGTTTGAAAACGTGGCTGTTCCAGTGTGCCTTCCCAGAATAGGAAAGGCCAAAGCACTTTGTCCCAAATGTACTTTACTAGAAAAATAGAATTGTCTGCATGCCCTATCTTCTCCAAAATACCTATCCATTTCACCCAGTCAAATTTTTTAATCCACTACAACTGGCCTTGACACTGATTTTAAATTGCGTCGTGCTGTTTAATGTCTATTGCTTGATTTATTTATTGGTGTATTGTTGTTGTGTTGTTTATTGATGTATTGGGTCTCAGCCTCTTGCATGCCGCACCGAGTCCTTCGGGATATGGTAGCGGGTTATAAATAAAGGATTATTATTATTATTATTATTATTATTATTATTATTATTATTTGCCCAAATTTGAACACAGATGGAGTTTGGGCAAAGTAGACCTTGACATTTGGGAGTTGTCACTGAGATTTATAGTTCACCTACAATCACAGATTCGCGAAAGGTCGCAGGTTCGAATCCGGAGAGCGATGTGAGCTCCTGCTGTTAGCCCCAGCTTCTGCCAACCTAGAAGAAGCTGGGGCTAACAACTTCTGCTAGGTCAAAAACATGCAAATGTTAGTAGATCAATAGATACCGCTCTGGAGGGAAGGTAATGGCACTCTGTGCAGTCATTCTGGCCACATGACTTTGAAGGTGTCTATGGACAGTGCCACCTCTTCATCTTAGAAATGGAGATGAGTACCAACTCCCAGAGTCGGACATGACTGGCCTTAATCTCAGGGGAAAACCTTTACCTTTATTGTACCACTATACTGCAATATTATTAGTAGTCTTACATGTAACATATAATATACTATTATTATTATTATTATTATTATTATATTGTATTCCATAGGGCCCCCCTGGTGGCGCAGCAGTTGGTGGGGATGAGAGAGATATAGAGATAGGGCCTTCTCTGTGTCTCCCCCCCCCCCCCAAAACTCTCTCTCCAGGGAGATTAGATTAGCTCCTACCCTGTCTACTTTCCGTAAAGACCTAAAAACCTGGATATTCCAATGTGCTTTTGATTAATCCAGTTCAGTAGATGATTTGGCCCCTCCAGCCATAACTTAATACTTGCTCTTGCACTTTATCATTATCCCTCCCCTTTCAGTTGTATTGCACTGATTGATTTGGCCTGACTAGCCCTAATTTGGCCACTGGCCCTTGTATCTTACTATCAGCCCGTCCTGGCAGTTGTACTGCGCAAGCCCTTGCCTCAAACTTAGTTCTGAACATGTCCACAAGTTGGCTGCTGTTGTTGATTTTTGATGGTTTATGTTTTTAGGATGTTTTATATGTATTTTATTATGTTATATTCTAACTGTGTTGACCGGGCTTGATCCCCATGTAAGCTGTCCCTAGTCCCTTTGGGGAGATAGTGGCGGGATACAAAAATAAAGTTATTATTATATTAAACCACTGAGCTGCTTAACTTGCTGACTGAAAGATCGATGGTTTGAATCTGGGGGACCAGGTGAGCTTCCGCTGTTAGCCCCAGCTTCTGTCAACCTGTCAGTTCGAAAACCTGCAAGTCTTAGTAGATAAATAGGTACCGTTCCAGCGGGAAGGTAACGGCAATCCATGCAGTCCTGCAGGTCACATGACCTTGGAGGTGTCTATAGACAACATTGGCTCTTCAGCTTAGAAATGGAGATGAGCACCACCCCCCAGACTTGGACACAACTAGGGGAAACCTTTACTACTCACAAAGAGTAGAGAAAGCTGCGGCCCCAGCTCTCCTTTGATGGATTGCATCTACACTGACCAAACTGCATTAGATAGCAATATAGGCCCATTCCACACAGCTGAATGAAATCCCACATCTGCTTTGAACTGCAGATCTTGGTCCAAGAAACTGGTTTTTTTATCCACGTGTGGAGACAGTTCATTTCCACTATTCTTTCCCTTCCTGGCCCATGGCCTCCAACGAGTTGGCTACCTGTGCAGCAAGGACCTTCGCCTCCCTATGAAAAATCTCACAAACCCTTATGATATCCTGAAGGGTATGTCTTGTAGTATCATTGGTTCTCACATTGACCAAAAGGAAGGGGTAATAGGCCATTGAGTGCTATGTTGAATGGTCTAGTGTTCTCAGGGGGTATGCTATACTACTGTATTTCTTCAATTGTAAGACACCATCACTTGTAAAATGCACCCTAATTTCAGAACTACCAAAAATACATAAGATACACCTGCAATATGAAGAGACACATCCCATTTTTAGAGATGTTTATATAAGAAAAAATGTGTCTTATAATGGAAGAAATACAGTATATATGGTTGCAAATTTATGTGCAGCGTGCATACTTCAGTGATATATACTCAGATGTAAACATGAATAAGATTGTTCTCCACATGTTAGAATTGTATAGAGCTTTACATATTTTAAGTTATAAAACGAGGTAATGATACTATATGCCTTTGAATCAGAATTTTCGTTTATGCATTTAACCAAAATATTTATTTATTTTTGCACTGAATTAAATGAAATGGCTTTCATGATAATAGAATTTAAATTGTGCATGCTGTAATTCAACATTGTTATGTGATGGTGTTAGAAAGTCCTGGATTAACTATATACAATCAAGAAGCATTTGCAAGTACTTTGTGACTATAGTTACTGTTATTCTTTCTGAATAAAATTTTCAAGCATATTTTAGATTATAACTTTGAAGCTTTGTAAAATAAATTGAGAAATAAAAGTCTAATAAAGTTACCTTTTAAAATTAAAACAGGCATTCTGAAGGAAATGGCAGTACTTGTTGCAAGAGCAGATAGCAAGATATGGATTACGCTTATAATGGGTGAGAAGATATATATATTTAAACTTCTGCTTGTTTAACAGGGCTCTCCTACACATGCTTACTTAGAAGTAAGTCTTTCTCAGTTAGACTTCTTATCAGATTGATGCATATACAATTATAATTCAAGCTTTGGTTATTGTGCTGTTGATTGCACAAAGAAGACTGCTTGGGGGCATAATGTAAAGTAAATATATGAGTTCTTATAACCAGCTATAAAACTAATATTAACACTGCTTGAGCTCCATAAATAAATTTTCAGATCATAAACTTTACATGATTATTAATTATTAAAATGTCATTAAAATGATACAATTGCTTTTTATATTCCTCGATAGTAACATAAGTTCTGTACATTTATATAATCAATCTTAAATAAAAGCATTTATATTAGGGTTGCTTTGGAGTAAAAGTAACATTTCTAGGCAGTTTCAAAACTGCTGCTTGCCTCAGATTTTTAGGCACATGGAGGCCAATCCTTCATATGCTTTCCTCATTTGTATTGCAGGAGTCTTTCCAAATAGTAGCATTTAAATAAGGCATATGTGTATTTTCTGTTGATTTTGTGCATGGGTGATTCTATCTCTCTTGCTCATGCTACACAGCAGAGGTTGCATTAATAGCATACAGCAAGGATGGAAATTTTGTGGTCTTCCATTTATTTTGGGACTGTGTTTCACCATAATCTATGTTGGCAGTTTAGTAGCATTTGGAGGGCCATATAATTCCTGTTATGTCTTTGAAAGATGTCAACTTAAGTCCAGTTATTGGTTCCAGCTAGAGTAGATTTATTTAACCAATAAAACTTACTGTATATTCTTGTGTATAAGTCGACCTCATGTGTATAAGTCAAGGGCAAGTTTTAAATTATGGATTTTGAGAAAACACATGGATAAGTTAAGGATCTTTCTTCGGAAAAGGAAGGTGCCATCAAAACCTCATGGGTCAGTTGCCCCTGGCCGCCACTCCCATTTTTCTATCAAAAAAAAGCCTTTCATCACCACTCTATTCAAAGAAGGAATGCTTCCTTTTTATTATAAAAATTAAGGTATAGTACAAACTCTTACTAAAAAACAACCACCCCTTCTCTAAGTAAGGTGGGGAAAAGTGGGAGCTTAGTCCACCCTGGGAAAACCTAAAAGCAGCACCGATTTCCTCTACTTTGATGGCACTCCTTCTAAATAATAATAATAAAACTTTATTTGTATTCTGTCCTCTCTCCCCAAGGGGACTCAGGGCGGATTCCAACTTAACAACGGCAAATATTCAATGCCTTCATATAACAAATACTGACATGAAATCCCATATAAACCCCTCATAAGATAATAACATTAAAACCTCACATCAAATTAAGGAAGCCACTGCTGTCATTTCCCCACCTAGGTTTCAAAAAGGCCTGAAGCATTGTCACTGTGAAGATGATAAAAGGTTGATATTTCTTTTAGGTTCTTCCAGGACTGACTAAGCTTTTGCCTTTTGCTATTTACTCAAGAGAGGGAGATGGTTCCTTTTTGAAATAAGAGTTAAGGTGTATTATCTCCACTCTCATTTGTATATAAGCTTTTTGGGTCAAAATTTTAATTAAAATTTCCAGACTTATATATTTAGTATATACAATACATATGTATTGATTTACCATATGCCCATGGATTCACTGAATCTACTCTTGTTGGAAGTAGCAACTGAATTTAGACCATCTGTATTTGCAACACATTTCAGTGTTAGTATTATGCATGTTCCACATTTACGGTGTAGTACACAGGAACTAACTTGAGTACAGTATATAAAAATCACCTTTTTTGTAGTACCCTCATACTACTATTTGAGGAGCTAATATGTGAATCATTGGATTTAGGTATCAGGGACAATTTCAGTCATGAGAAAGTTTCGTATAGTATAGTCAGAATAGTAGTTAGGGGTATCTTGTTTATGAAGCCTTTTAAAAAGCTAATTGAAAAACTGATTGAATATGTATATCTTTTATTTTTGAAACAGCTGCTGTTGCAGGAATCTTTCACTGGTAAGTTTATTTCTAGTAGAGAGCCATACAGGCAACTTTGTCTTCAGTTGTTATCTTCCTGTGATGTATTTATTTCTTAAAATATTTATAGCTTGCCCTATATTATTACATATGGAGCCCCCAGTGGCGCAGTGGGTTAAAGTGCTGAGCTACTGAACTTGCTGATTGAAAGGTCGCAGGTTCGAATCCGGGAAGTGGCATGAACTCCCACTGTTAGCCCCCAGCTTCTGCCAAACTAGCAGTTTGAAAACATGCACATGTGAGTAGGTCAATAGATACTGCTCTGGCGGGAAGGTAACGGGGCTCCATGCAGTCATGCCAACAACATGACCTTGGAGGTGTCTACGGACAACGCCAGCTCTTTGGCTTAGAAATGGAGATGAGCACCAACCTCCAGAGTTAGACGTGACTGGACTTAATGTCAGGGAAACCTTTACCTATACCATTACATCTTAGACAGTACACAAGTACTGTAAAATCAATTAAAACTATTAAGTCTGTTGTATAATATAATACATATAATTTATACTTAATAATTTAATAATTTTAAAACTGCTCAAAATTTTAAAATGGTTACATTGCCATATTTCAACTTTAACAGAAATAGAACCAACATTGGTGACCATTTGACATTCTATGTTAAATCTCTTCCATGTCCATCCACACTGTATTGTTCCTTCTGATTATGGTTTCTGTTTATCATCTTTGGTGCCTGTGGTGCTTTGAGGGTACTATTGTGTGCATGTGGTGCTTTTTGTCATGGTCTTGGGCCCGTACAATAAACTATTTTGATTTATAACCCAGAGGAGTGCTGGCAGCTATACATAGAGGGAATAACACATAGGGAAAGTCAGCCATACATAATGAGAAACAATCCCTAAGATAGTGAAGCCCCAACTTTATGGCTTTGAATATCATTACCAGCATCTTATTTATTTATTTATTTGATGCATTTATTAACCGCCATTCTCAGCCCCTCAGGGCGACTCATGGCGGTGTACTTGAATGTATTGACTGTGTAGCTCCTTTAAGACCAATGCTACATGGTTTCTATTACAGTGCTCAGAACAACAGCAACACTGCTAAGCTTAGACTTTAGTGAGGCAAGAACAACTTCTTTACTCTTGAGAGCCATGTGAATTAATTGCAGGACAAGGCATAATCTCCCATCTCTTATGTGTTTTTCCCACACACACTAATATATGTGAAGACAGAGAGCCTTACCCTTTCATCATTAGGCTAGGTGGGCAAATGAATGGATGCCAGTGGTTGGCCAGATGCATGAGTTCAATGGCAGTAGCATTGTCTATATGTAGACAGAGAAACAGACAGTCCTGCCCCACCCATGGACATGTGTAAGCACATTCATCCTCGTCCCCCATCTTAGCATACAGAGCTGAAGGTATTTAACCATCTTCTTTACTTAACGTATTTTGATATTTTCGTGCCCTCCCTTTTTATGGACAACTGCTGACAAGTTGTTTCCAGTACTAGACAACTGGTCAGTGGGATAGGCAAGTTAAACATGTAGCTGGGGAAGGAAACAGGGCCACAGAAACATTGTGTGAAAATTGTGTTCTGGAGAACAGTTGGTGTGTTTTTACTCTACTTCCTCTTTGGTTTGTGGTCAAGTATATACAGAAATATGCAAACTTTCAGCCTCTTCAACTCATTTTTACTTTTAATTTTACTGTATCAGCTGTTTCCAAAGCCCAGGGAATTGGGTCATTTTCTGACAGGTTGCTAAGGGCTAAGTCCTTTTCAACTGCTCAACTTACATCCTCAGTGGGTTTTAGGGCTGTGATATAGAAGTGCAAGGCCTGTACTTCCATGCACATCAGCCTGATTGTGTAGCATAAGATTTATGGACCAAGCAAACTGTTGTGAGATTTGTGTCTTTCTTTTTGGTTGATGTCTTGTAGCATAATTGTAATGCAGATTAGATCAGATGAGGAAACGTTTTTATGTGTGAATTCTGTATTTGGAAAAATTCTTTTCACATTTCTCCTCATTCTGATTTCACGGCTCATCCTGCAGTGTGCAAGATGGAAGTCCTACATTTTAATTCTCTCTTATGTTAAGTCTGCTGCTTTTCAGGCAGATGTGAAGTGGAAGACTTCCAGTTCTTAAAATGAACACTGACAGTTCAAGTGCGGACATTGTAAGATTCAGCAAATGAACAAGTAGACTGACAGGGATTGTAGCAAGTGCTTCATGCCTTCCTTGGCAGCTCTCTGCAATTCTGTGCTGGCTTAGAAACCCACTGATTTTTTAAAATGTTAAAACATGTCATCTCTTCAGCAACCCATTTATACAAATAACCTCTTCTACAACCTTCACGGAAACCCAGTGTGTTTCTTCTTCTTCTTTTAAGCTGATCTTAAAAGTGCTTGACAGTAACTTTTGCTGACTTAATTGCCGGTCTGTTACAATTAATTATTGAGTTAAATTAATTTTCAGATTTATTTCTGTTTTTGTCTTTTGTTTGTTTATATAGGTACCACATAACAACTCTCTTTGAGAATGACCGCCGCTTTTCTCATCTTTCAACTTTGGAAAGAGAAATGGCCTTTCGAACTGAAATGGTTAGAGCTTGTATACATTTGTTAGTTATTACTTGTTTGTTTGTTTTTTGGTCTCACTGTGGCATAGTGAGCCATACTCTTGAATATCTGTTCTACCGTAATCATATATGTATAATCATTAGGGCTGGGCAACCACGGAAAAATTTGTTTCTAAACTCGATTCGTTTTTAGGGGGTTTTTTGCGTTTCATTTTTTAAAAGAATTCCGAAATTTTTCTTTAAAAAAGTTCAATATTTACGAAATTTCGGAAATTACGAAACAATTTCGAAACAATAACGAATCGATTCGTTAATGGCGGACGCGATTGCGCAATACTAAAAAACCTCCAAATGGGACAGGGGGAACTTCTGAAGCTTCCCTCTCCCTCTGTTGTTGACTGTTGGTGTGATAATTTATTTTTTTATCACTGATAAAACAAACAACAACCATAAAACTTGCACCAGACATGCGGAAATAATAACGAAATAATAACGAAACAATTACAAAACAATTTCGAAACAATTACGAAACAATTACGAAATAAATTTTAAAAATACATTTCGATTTTTAGTTGCTCCTGAATGGTTCAATATTGCTTCGTTATAAAAAAACAAATTAATAACGAATTACGAAATTAACGAACGAAACCGCTCAGCCCTAATAATCATATATTTAAAAAATAATATATTTATTAAACTCAAACACACACCACACAAAAACATGTTTAAACAATATAAAATGTATATATGGACAAATACTACATAAACCCATACTACATAAAAACAATAACATAACAACAAATGTTAAAGAACTCTGCTTCCAATCCCCAGGTGAAGATATTAGTATTTCTTTGCTTCCAAAACCTACTTCCTCTATTACAAATTATATTTATTTTATTATTTGTCAAGCTACATAAAATATGCAAATATCTACTTAACATATTATTATTATTCAAACAGTATAATTTATAATCTGGTCTAGTTTTCTCTCAAATATTTCACAGCTAGTTGCCACTCCTGCTTCTCTATTGTATTGTCACTCTTGCCATTTCAGCTAAATTATACATCTTTAAAAACCAATTTTTTGTTGGCACAATCGCATTAAACTTTCCGTTTTTGTGCATACAGAATTCTTGCTGCTGTAATTATATACCCATTTATTCTTCCACATTCCTTTTCATGTTGATCATCTAATAGTCCAAACAGGTTAATTTCCGTTTTCATCTGTAACTTTATATTAAGACTTTTTTTCAATTACGTAATGTATTCGCAACCAAAATCTCTAGGTTCCCAGGTCTGCCACATATGGAAAAATATACCCGCCTGACCTTTCCACAGTTGTGTCTCAAAATCTGTATTGATACCAGTGAATATTACGGTGTATTGATGTTTTTAAAATTCCTCCATTGTTCTCATCTTAAATTGCCCATTTTCTATCACCAACATTTAAGGGCTTATTATCCATATCTCTTGAAGCCTGATTTTTCTTTTTCAATAATGCTTCAAGTGGTGATATCTAGAAAGGCAATCTAGGTCTTAATCTCATTTTATATTTGTTCCATATACTTAAGAAATGATACATTTGCTTTAACTTTATCATATCCTAAAACAATGTTAATTACATCTTAGATCAAGCCCTTCTAATTACAGCATCCTTGGACCATGATTTTGGATGATGTGATTTTAATAATGAGTTTTAAATTGTTTTGTTTAATGTTTTTGGTTTTAATGTAATTGTTTATTTTATTGTATATTTGTTTATGGCATTGAATTGCTGCCTATTTTGTAAGGTCACTCTGAGTCCCCTTCAGGGTGAGAAGGGCGGGATATAAATGAAGTAAATAAATATATTAATAATCCTCCCTCCCCTACCATTAATTCAATGTTTCATCCAAACCAAAACACAAGTTGTTAAATCTATCCAATTTGAGGACTGTCAATCCCAGACTTTTTATTGTATGATGTCTTGCAGTATCTTGAATCTTGCTCCAGGTTTCTTACTTTATTAAACAAATTTGGAAATGTCTTTTTGCTGTTGTTTAAATGGCATCTCATTTGTCTGTATCAGTATGGTGTAAAATAAAAATAATATTTTAAGCAATGCAGTCTCCTTTATCACTGAAATATTTTCCATTTTTATCACTGAAATTCATGTTACAACTGAGTGAAAGGATGGGAGGATGTTATTTTAGAATGCCATTCAGTTATCTGTAACTAATTGGAGGATATCTAAATAGTTGAAGGTAGACTCATTTTGTGTGTATTCCTTTTTAGAGGAAGGATAGAAGAAGCTGAATAGCCACTGTAGGATATGGTCTGCCACATAATAAAAGTCATAAAAATGACTTTTATTTGAGTTTTATTTATATTCTATGGCTACCAAAAGGAATAGGTCTTCAAATTGTGTTCTTGTTTTGGAGTCAGTTTAGCTCAGTTTCTTCCTTTCTTGTCTTGTGTCCCCTGGTTTTTACTTCTTTTTAGTTTGATGATAAAAGTTAATTGAAAAGCAGGCCCAAAGAATCATCTTGTCAGTAATGTCAGATCGTATTGCCCCTGCCTCTGTCTAGTTAGAGATGGCCATAATCCAAACTATGTAAGCTTCCTTTTGCAGCAACATAGTGTGGACTTTCAAGGCATCTATCTAATGTTCCATTCTTTGATAGTGTATCAAAGAATGGAACATTCGATATACATCTTGCAGGTCACTGGCAAATGATTTTGAAATGACTGTTACCTTTCAGCATAGTGCAGAAGTATTGCAAGCCAGTTAAGAACTTTCAGCTGCCATATCATGCAGTGAACAAGGTTTTGTTGTGTGGTTCTGTTTTTGTTCTGTTCATGTAGTCTGAAAAAAGTGAAGCAGATTCAGTGGGACTTAATTAGTACTAATGTTTGCTACTGGTCTTTGCTACTATATAAACATTGTGATAATGAAATCATTGGTTATTAATTTAACTTAAATGTATACTCTCTTTAGGGTCTTTATTATTCATATTTCAAGACCATTATTGAAGCACCATCATTTTTTAGTGGAGTCTGGATGATTATGAATGACAAACTAACTGAATATCCCCTTGTAATCAACACACTGAAAAGGTTTCACCTCTATCCAGAGGTAAGTAACTTCTTACACATACTGCTTTGAAATTTTGTCACAAAATTCATTGTGTTCAATAATAGTATGCATGCCTTTGAAATCATAGTACTTTGTACAATTAGCACAATTTCTGAAGAGGACACTAAAAACAATAGGGTTTCCAATGGTATATGTTAAGATCAGTGATGGGATACTTGTGCCCCCTAGATGTTGGGTTGCGATCAGTGACCTAGCCAATGTATTTGGTAGTTGGCATGGCTAGTTATAATGGATGGTGGCAGTGATGTACCTATAGTATCTTGTGGACAAAACAATCTGAATAGGGAGGAGGAGCAATCCAGACACAGTTGGGCTTTCTCCGTGTGCCAGCTGGCCAAGCAGGAGTTCAAAGTCCAAAGTTCCTTTACTTTTAAACCATCTATCCCTCTGTTATTCTTCAGCATTGAAAGACTGGTGGCAAACACCCTCAGCTTGGCAGTGCAACAATATCAGATGAGCAAATATGTCTGAATGCATTATAGACAATTATTAAGGATGCAATAAATAGAGAAATTAATTTATTGAGACCAAGAATTGCTTGAAAATTTACAGCAGAATGGCAATGAATTACAAAAGATGAACTGTTTAATGCAGATAAATTACTTGCTGGAATTCTATTTTGTTAATTTATTTTCAATGAATTCACATACAACTATACAGTTGAATGCAGATTTAGAAAAAAGGTAATAAACCAATTTCACTGATCACCACATATTTTGGTGACTCAAATGTTGGCTCTGTTTCTGGGTATATATGTGACCTGCCGATTGCAAAAATGGCAGTAGTTTTCCTCTATCGGCTCCAGTTTTGAGATACAGAACATACGTTATCAACCACCCTCCATCTGATGACTCATAGAAAACTTTGATAACCATATCTAGAGCTGATGCAGTATATCTAATACAGTTTTCTGAATCAGCTCCCCAATCAACCCCAGGAATGGGTCTAAAAACCAAGGCACCAATATTTTTTTAAATTGTTTGCCCATATTATTACCATAATATGGAGGAAAACAAAAAGGAAAGATGTTTCATAAGTTATTAAAGAGGAAATAGAGGAGGAAAACAATGTTATAAAGCAGCATAACAGGCTAAGGAAGTTGCATTTTTAAAAGAACCAAATTACACAAGGAAGAAAAACATTTTAGTAAGGAAACTGATAAAGATTTGGAAATGGATGAAATAGAGGAAGTGCAAATTTATGAAGACTCAAGTGAAAATTGAGAAGCTTCTAATTCAGAAGCTGATGATGTGTCAGACTTTTTTCAGTAGAGGAATTTAAGAATATAATGACGAAAGTAATTCAGACTTTGGTTTAGAGTTGATCAGAGTTAAACAGGAATGATAAAATAACATGGAAATGTTGATGACAGAGTTTCTTCAGTGTCAAAGTATCATGCTCCAATCATGGGGCTGATTTTTGGCTGTCATTGTCCCTAAAGAGTGAGACACAGTATTAAAAGAAGTAGATGAGCATAGGGCAGAGATAGTATTGAAAAAAGCACACAAAACATCTACTTACGTGATAAGGAGCTTGACAACAATGTCAGTGTTTGCAAGGACTATGGTCTTTTAAGTTCAAGATATATTAGACACCCAGGATATTTATGCACATATTATTAATAGTGCCTTTAAAGCGGTTCAGAAAATTATGAGATATATAATCCCAAGCAAGATTCCTACCAGACAGACATTTGAGTTAGAATGTCAGAACAATTCTGGATGTGCTGGAGGTAGTAGACCGTCACCTCAATAAAGAAATAAAAACAAGAGGAATTTGTTGAGATAGAAGAATAGAGGGTTAAATAAAATGTTCATAAACTCAATGGGGATCAGTGACAGAAGCCAAGGTGGGTAGCATTGGAGTTGGGGTAATTGTACTGTGGGTGTCAGGTTGCCAAAAAGCCTCGAGGTCTGAAGGGTGGAACTCTGCAGCCTCTTTGCATATTGGTCAAGGGCAAGGGATCCTGGGAGTCGCAGCACAAAGATGTGAAGCCCAATTCCACAAATAGCCAATTCTTCCAAATTTCAAAATATTCGAAGGCTCTCTTTATCTGAGCTCCCATCACTATTTCGTTCTTTCTCTGGGGAAGGAGTATGGGATTTCTTAGGATTCCATGGGAAACTTGTGCTTCCAAAAGAGCTCCACGGCTGAAAAGGTTTGTGAAATCCTGTTTTAAAGAGATAGATCGTGGTTATATTGAAGCTTAAGCAATAACATCAGTAAGGCATTGCCAGAGTTACCGGCATTTTCAGTATAACAACATTTATGCATATTTGAATAATTTATGTTTGAAGTTGGAAGTCCTCCATTTATGTCAAACAGTATAAATAGTTGGATTATATTGCAAGATATATTGGGGGGGGGGATGGATGAAGTCTTGAGCCTACCTGTGATGTGGTTGTCCGATAGCGACAAAACTTTATCACAGTTCCATATACCCCCCTCCACTTTTAACACACTTTCCTCATCTGTGCACTAATCCTTGGAAAAAAATGATTTCTTCTGGGAATTGCACCAGTCCTTCAAGGTGTCCATGACAATGTCATTGGATAGAAAATTCTTTTCAGACTTTTCATTGTGGATAACGGAATGCAATGTTCATGTGAAATTCTCAGTGCTTCCGCTTGTATTGCAATGTCACTCAGCAGTATTGCATGACTACACATGCCACATTGTTGTCCATAGTCACATCATCTGCAATATGGTTCTCATTGCTGGAAGTCACTATTTTTCCTGACCCTCCCCGCCCCATCAGAGAGCAACACTACACACTCAGGTAAAATTTGGTGGAAAGTATGAAGAGTTGGTCTTCCCTAGAAAATATTTTTGTCAATCCACAGTGGCTCCTTCATAGGTAGGCTCTAGACTTTTAATCCATCCCTAATATTTACCAAACTTTTAAGCAAAGCCTAAGCATCCCTTGGGGAAAAAGTGGCATAAGTTAGATGTCAGGAGATCTGCTAAGGCAGGCATCCTCAAAAACTGCGGCCCTACAGCTGTTTGGGCCTACAACTCCCAGAAGCCCTAACGAACTTGCTCAATTGAATTCTGGGAGTTGAAGGTCCAAACAGTTGGAGGGCCACAGTTTGAGGATGCCTGCACTAAGGTATATATTGACAGAACCACAAGTCTTTTCATTCAAATATATTAGGTAGATAGCTTCAGAAAAGTAATTGCATGGATAATTAGAGCAGGCATCCTCAAATTGCAACCCTCCAGATGTTTGGATCTCTACCTCCCAGAATTCCTGAACATTGAACAAGCTGGCTAGGGCTTTTGGGAGTTGGACGCTTAAACAGCTGGTGACCACAGTTTGAGGATGCCTGGATTTACATTTCTGTGTTATAGCTGTGCAAAACTTCCAAGATCTGAGCATGTATGCCCATACTGTACTCATTCCATGGTGATGAGCTTCTTCTTTGTTGGTATCTTTGGAAGAGGTTTGCACTACTGCTGGCTATCAGAGCCAACTGTGTTTATAAGAAGAAAACTGATAAATATGGATCAGCAGAAGCTGCATTTGGATGCATAGGCTTCATTCGGTTAGGTCAGGCATGAGCAAAATTCAGCCCTCCGAGTGTTTTGGACTTCAACTCCCACAATTCCTAACAGCCAGTAAACTGGCTGGGATTTCTGGGTGTGAAAGTCCAAAACACCTGGAAGGCCGAAGTTTGCCCAGGACTGGATTAGGTGATAGATAGGCAGCCATCCCATCCCTGTGTAAAAGAGGCTTGGGCATTTCTAAATTGTGTGTGGATTGCTCCTCTTCCCTGTCCAGAAAATGAGGTGTTGGAATTTAGTTTGAATGTTCATTCTTGTATAGAAGGAGGAACAATCCAGCCCTATTCAACAGGAGGCTACATAAAAAAGTGAAACAACAGCAACACAGTTCTTTAAGTTCAATTATAGCTAAAACTTTAGAAAAAAACTGAAGGCAAAGGGAGAGGGGGTTGGTAGTTTAACAGAAAAAGAACTTTGGACCCTGCTTAGCCAGCTGGCATTTGGGGAAAACCCAACTGTACATGGACTGTTCCTCCTCCTATCCAAACATCATACATTCCAATGCCTGTTGTTCACTAGATTTCTAAAAACACCTGGCCTTCTATAGTGCATTCCTCTAGTGAAAAAAAAAAGTTTTCATAATACAAAAGTGCTAGTCCTTTGGTATTTTAGTGGAGTAAAGTTTGGAATGATAATAATTTTATTTCTTATCTGCCTCTCCTCATGGCTCGAGATGGGTTACAGAATAATTAAAACAAATACACACATTAAAATGTGTTTTATATAAGATACATATTAAAACTCTGGTGGCACAGGGCCCCTTGGTGGCGCAGCAGGTTAAACTGCTGAGCTGCTGAATTTTGCTGACCAAAAGGTTGGCCGTTCGAATCCAGGGAGCGGGATGAGCTCCCACTGTTACCCCCACCTTCTGCCAACCTAGCAGTTAGCAAACATGCAAATGTGAGTACATCAGTAGGTACTGCTCCGATAGGAAGGTAACAGCGCTTCATGCCGTCATTCCAGCTACATGTCCGTGGAGTAGTCTACGGACAATGCTGGCTCTTAAGCTTAGAAACAGAGAGAAACATCACCCTCCAGAGTAAGACATGACTAGACTTAATGTCTGGGGAAACCTTTATCTTTACCTTACATATGAAAACATATTTCTATAAAATACATATTAAAACACATAAGACCAAGATTAAACAAAGGACACAAGTTTAACAATTATGCTTAAAAACCAACTGGTTTATGTATTTTTTACATTAGCAATTAATATATTGTAGGAATATTCCTAAAAGAATCCAAGTGGTGGTTCCCCCAACATCTTCACTCCCTTTCATGTGTGTAATATTTTCTGTTATCCAATAAACAACATTTGTATTTCATGATTTTATGTGAGTATATTGTGAATTAGTCACAACAACATCTTTCAGAGTGGAAGCAAATTCTGGAGAGTAGGCAAACAATAATTCTACACCTCTAGTTCAAGCTTCTTTTTACTAAATGCTTAAGGAGTGAAGCATATGGGATAATGAAAAAATGATATACATGTAGCTGTGTTACTGCTGTAGAGTCCTAAAGCAATATAGCTATTACTTTTTATATACCACTTTCTCTTCAAAGTGACTAAAAAAAGGCCACCTTAGTTGGATTTGCGCGCATCATTCAAAAATAGACCACAGAGTCCTAAACACTTGGGTAATGTTTGACTTGTGATTTTGTGATACGAAATCCACCATTTATATCTCGTTTGCTGTGTCATGCTGTGTTTTTTTTGTCAGCACCAATAATAATAACAATAACAACACTTTATTTATATTCTGCCCTTCTCCCTGAGGGGACTCAGAGCGGATTACAGCATATAAACAGACACAGGCAAACATTCAATGCCTTGTTACAATGAAATACAATTACCCACAAATGCACATTTCCGTCTCTGGAGATGGTGCTCATCTCCGACTCTTGTGGAGGTGCTCATTTCAAATCGAAGGAACCTGCGTTGTCCATATAGACCTCCTGGTCATGTGGCCGGCATGATTGCATGGAGCGTCTTTTTCACTTTCCCGCCGTGGCAGTACCTATTGATCTCACATTTGCATGTTTTCGAACTGTTAGGTTGGCAGGAGCTAGGGCTAATAGTGGAAGCTCACCTTGTCTCATGGATTCAAACTGGTAACCTTCAGGTCAGCAGTTCAGCAGCACAAGGGTTTAACCCATTGCGCCACCACGGCCCCTCTGATTCCAAAGCTTTGAGCCATGTCAGTTAAGGTGGTGTCAATCTGCATTAATTCTACAGTGCAGATGAACCCTAAATTACCATATACACTTCTGTGTAAATCAACCTCACATATAAACTGAGGGCAGGTTTATAGTCAAAATTATAAATCTTGCTATGACCCATGGATAATTTGAGGATAAAACATAAGGATATGTAATAAACAAAACATTTCCTTTCCTTTCAAAAATTCATAGGCTTCTAAATATATAGTTGAAATAAAGGCACTATGTAAATGCACATGAGGGCTTAAATACAATGAAGGCACCAAATCATATCTGTTTTTTGAAGCCAAGTAGGGAATAAATATTGTATCGGTGAGTCAGCCTGTTTGTAATATACGCTTGGCTTGAGAAGTATTGTAGCAGAGCAGGAGCAAGTAGGCATTCACTTAGACAATTGCTCATGTCCAGATGTGCACATTCCATACATTGCCCCACTATTTCTATTAGTTATTACAAAGGTCACACATGACTGAGCTGATTGAATTCTAATAATGCTGTGGTGGTCAAAAGTGATCTTGTATCTCATTACTACTGAGACTGACCCAAAGAGCCTACTAGAGAAACTGTCAAAAGAGAGGCAAAACTCAGTTCTCCACCCAGAAGTAGGCAGACTGAAACTTTGGAAGTGTAGAAGACAATAAGATATCAGAGCGGAAGAAAATTTCACAAATTTACACATTTTAATAGGATGCAGGAAACTCTTAATGGGATCCTCTTATAGCCACAAGTGGATTACTTTTTTAAAATATAACAGAAGAATTACTTTACTTACTTAGGCAATCCCTCGTTGTCCAAGTATGATGGCGTAGGAGCATTGCTTCAGTGCTGGTGGTCTTTGTTTCTTCCAGCACGCTGACATTTGTCTGCCTGTCTTCCCAAGAGATTTACAGGATTTTTTGGAGGCAATGCTGATGAAATCGTTCCAGGAGTTAAGTGTGATGTTTGTAGACAGTACACATTTTTCAGGTGTATAGCAGGGTTGAGAGGGTAATAGCTTTATAAAAAAGCACCTTGGTATCCCTGCGGATGTCCCAATCCTCAAATACTCTCTGCTTCATTCGGAAAAATGCTGCACTCGCAGAGCTCAGGCGGTGTTGTATTTCAGTGTCAATGTTGACTTTTGTGGAGAAGTGGCTGCCAAGTTAGTGGAAGTGGTCAACATTTTCTAATGTTACACCATTAAGCTGTATTTCTGGTATTGCAGAGGGATTGGCTGGTGACTGTTTAAAGAGCACTGTTTTTCTCGATGTTCAATTAGAAGCTGAGATTCTATTATGTTTCTGCGAAGGTGTTTAGAGTGGCTTGTAAGTGTTCTTCTGAATGTGCAGACTGCACTATCATCAGCATATTGGAGTTCTATAACATGTTGTTGTGACCTTGGTTTTGGCTTTCAGTCTGCTGAGGTTAAATAGCTTGCCATCTGTTCGATAGATGATTTCCATGTCCCATCAACAAGATGAAGTATCATAGCAATGAAGATGGAAAATAAGGTTGGGGCAATAACACATCCCTGTTTAACACCCGATTCCACCTTAAATGGGTCATTTTGGGAGTCATTGCTGTCCAAGACTGTTGCCATCATGTCATCGTGGAGGAGCCGCAGGAAGTTCACAGGGCATCGGATTTTTTGGAGTCACCAGAAATAATGACTTCAACCCAATGAACACATTACTTAATAAGTTCTCTTTTTTACTGATGGAAGTTAATGAGGGCCTCTGTCCATATTCTGTAAAGATATACTTGCTGGCTATGTCATTATTTCTTGGTCCTGTTTTTCATATTCTAACTTTTGGTTGCTAAGTGTTCATTTTTTAAAAAAGGAGTTCAGATATTGTTTGCAGATATTCCAATAATTCCACCCTTATTGAGTCTTTTGTCGACATTTACCTAATTAACTAGCAACTTTTCAAGTCTGTGGCTACATCTTTTTCTCACTGTCTTTGACAGTGACCTTTCTTGTAGCAATTACTACATAAATAGAGCCATTACGCTTTGTGTACTTAAGCAGGATCCTTCATACTTCAAGTGATGCAATTACATGGTCAACGTTTTACTGGTACAACCCTTTTACTGAAGGTTAGTATCAACATCAATATAGAATATTATTCACTTTCATTCCAGACCCCACCATCTACAAATCTGTATGTGTTAACATGCATAACCACTTTCAGAACATTACAGAGTGTTACCAGCTGTTAACAAAGAGCTTGCAATTCAGGGAGCTTGCAGTAATACATTTTCAGTTCATGGATGTATGTGTGGTAGCATGTGATGATTAGCACTATATCTTGAGCTTCCACTTCATGGACCAGCGTGGGTTGGTCCATGAAGTCACAAAGAGTCAGAAGCGACTGAACAAATAAACAACAAAACCACTTCATATAAGTACTGTTAAATTTTAAATCAGCGATATACTAATGGATAGCCATATATAAGTCTGTTTTAATTACTAATTGGAAATTATAATCCTGTTTTCTGCACAGGTTGTGCTAGCCAGTTGGTACCGCATGTACACAGGGGCAATGAATTCTACTGGCATTCAAACACAGAAGTGTTGGACTGTAAATAGGGGAGAATACCTCAGCCCCGTTCAAAGCTGTGAAGGCAAGTGTTGCTTGTTAATTTTGGATGTTGCATAAGGCAGACCATGAAATGTCCAAGAGGTTTATCAGGGCTTCTTTCTTACATAGTAGGTTAGTAAGAAAAAGTTGCCCCCCTCCCAAAGGATCCTCAAAAATTGCCCATCCTCATTTTGCAAAGATGGCAACCTACACTGTTAGAGGAAACATTCAGTCTTAATGTTTTGTTTTTCATCAGTTAGGAATCTTGGAACTATAAATACAAGATGTGTTTTGTATAACCAAAAGATTAGGGGCTTGCACATAGTTCCTCCCCCTCACATCCATTGTAGCAAAGGCAATAGTATAATGGAGATTTTTGGGATAAGAAGTAAAAGTTTCACTTCTAGTGTTACAATAAACTGCCCTTAACACAAGCCCCTGTGGCTGTCACTTCTGTCGTCATATTTTCTATCCTATAGTTGTTGGAGAGGGGTTATGTGTTAGTGCCAAGTAAAACATAACACATTTCCCCCTGTCTGTGCTGAATACAGACAATGCTATCTCAGGAGCCAAGAATTGGAGCAAATGAAGAGGTTATAAAAGGGTTTTTTATTATACAATATTATCAGATTGTTATACATTGAATCTGAAGTATGATCGGGTTGGCAGCAAATGTAGCCTGCTTGTGCACACACACCAAAATTGCCATGTATTTTTAGTGTAATTTGGATTTTTTTTCATTGTCCTTTCCCTGTTATACCAAAATAAGAAATTACAACCTCCTAATTGTGAAAACTACAAAATATAAAATTATAATAAATTTCATTGTGTAGATTAGCCATGTATCACACGTAGCTTCTAATGCTTACATCTTCCTTATACTGTTTGATTCACTGTAATCATTATAATTCCTGTATTCAGGAATAGTGTCAAATATTTCCTAAACTCTGTTTTAGTCCTGAGTAGAATACATGCATTGAATCCATTACATTCATTTGTGTGTTTATTCATTACTCACTAACTGATTGTTCTAATTCTAGTGGGGACTAACCGGCAAGTTGGCAGCCCAAATCATGTAATGTGATAATAGAGAAAATTTGTCTTGATTAGGTGGCCTGATAGTATGGCTTATTTATCCTCATGAATAGATTGGAAATCTCCTCAACTTTGACATGTCCCCTTTGTATAATAAAAAGGCAAGGGAAAACTTAAACTAGATGGGTGATTAATATATTGATGAATCATCCAAATACATTTTGAATGCCCTGTACTTCCTTATATACTTTTATAGTAATAATCTCTATTTAAGTTCTCCTCTTAGTTGAGGTTGCCCTGATATTTCCAAATCCTATAACAAGGCTATTCAGAAATATCTAGAACGTAAGAGGAACCAAGCTGGCCTGTATTGAGAGACAATCTTGTTCTGAGGAGAGAAGCAAGATCCCCTCCCACATGCTTTTATTGTTTCATTATATACATTTATTAATGTTTGTTGTAATATAGATTTTAACGGTGATTTTTTAGTGCTGTTTGTGTTTAATTCTGTTTTACTGTTTGTATATTTTAAATTGAATACGAATGCTTTTATGTCAAGCCGCTTTGATTCCTCTCTGGGGAGATAAAGCGGGTATCAATGATAATAATAATAATAATAATAATAATAATAATAATAATTATTATTATTATTATTATTATTATTATTATTATTATTATTTACATAAGCCCCTTTGTGAGATTTTCATGAGAAATTGTGTAAAATTTGTTACATTTGTTAAATAAACTTTAAAATTATTTGTTTTTATTTTTTAAAAAACATGAACAATGTTTAGTTATACTATAAGGTGCACCACCACACACAAGAGTTTGACCATAATATATACATAGTTAAAATACAATGTAGTAATTCTGTTTTAATGTTTTTTGCTATTTGATAGGAATGGGAGATCCTGCTTGTTTTTATGTGACTGTGATATTTCTTCTGAATGGATTAATGGTTTCGGTGTTCTTCCTATATGGCACATACCTAAGGTAAGATGCCCATAAGCAAAAATAAACCATCGTTTGAAAAGCTAATATACTAGTTAATTTTTTAGTTATTAAATATATTATACATTGCAAAACATTCAGAAGAAGACATCGGAATACAGTAGTTCAGATAAGTTATTTGAGAAAGAAGGATATAAAAGTATTGGTAACAGTTTTTTTCAAGATGAACAAGAATCCACTAACGATGTAGACAAAAGTTAAAATAGAGGGGTTCAGATTTCAAGTGCACTGAAAAAATTGGTACCAAAAGGAGTAGAATTGCCAATGTCAGAGATGTTTGAAGATTTAATAAATTTAGAATGGGAGATGCTATTTAAAACAAAAAGTCTCTGTTTTGTCCTCAATCCTTTGGAGCTATTCTAGAAGCAATGGGGAGTCCAGCTGTTTCCCTGCTTGGACAATATCTTATTGTAGGTTGAATGCAGCTGAAAGTCAAAAGCACAATCTCAGACTAATTTTTCATTGTCTCCATATTTATGGTTTTTAGCAAATTGCAAAAAGAGTGAATTAAAAGCATGAAGAAACCTCCTCTCAAGGCAGAAATAAACATACGAAAGATTATGGTTGCTTTCATTAGAATGAAAGAAAAAAATAATAAAATAATAGAATCGAGAAATAAGAAGGTAGTAGATTTAAGGCAAGGGTGTCAAACTCTTTCATTGAGGGCCATGTCAACCTTATGGTTGCCTTCAAAGGGCTGTTAAATCCATGGATGGAGAATCTGTGGATACGGAGAGTCAAATATTTTTACATAGTGGTTGGCACTATTTAGTTTTTACCTAGTTTGGGTTCTCAGATGTCACTGAACAACAACCCCGTCACTTTTGATTACTGCCATGCGGACTCAGGATAATGAAATTGCACTGCAACATCCCCTGTGGCTCTGAGATTGGGGAGAAGGTTAAAAGAAAATTTAACATCAGGTATCATATCCACAAGCCTTGTATCTAAATTCAAACCCCACTATCCTGACTAAACTGAACAAACAGCCACCCTCTATGTATTACTGTATCACAATTTCCATCTAGTCACGATGTATAATGATATAGGAGTTGTAGTCCAGCATCTGGAGGGACTTGCGTTTTCCACATTTGATTTAAGGCATCTGTCCAAGATACGGGGAAATTAAGTTTCAACAATTCATCCAATGAGCAAGTTTTTTATACTTTTTATGAGACCTTATCTGGGTCAAATAATAAGGAAAAGCTAGTCTCAAGTAAGTAAAAAGGTTTGTTTGATGAATAAAACAAGACCATTTGGAGCAGGGATCTCTTTGTTCCACAACTCAAAGTAACAGAACAGATGCCATTCTTTACATTTAGGATGCCTGTTGCCAGAATCAAGCCATTTAGAGCAGTGGTTCTCAACCTGTGGGTCCCCAGATGTTTTGGCCTTCAACTCCCAGAAATCCTAACAGCTGGTGGGATTTATGAAAGTTGTAGGCCAAAACACCTGGTGTAAAAAGACGGCTACCAGGTGGTAAAAGATCGCCACCAATTAGTGAGGAAGACCCTTAGGTTTAGGAGAGAGGAGCCACCGATTTGTAAAAGGCTCTGGTATTAATACCACTGGATGCCACCCTGTTTGTGTTGTGAGGTAATTTTGGGGAGATTGGGTACACGAACGTAGAATTAATGGAGATGAGGCAGTTTCAAAAACCAAAGAGAACAAGTTTATTTTTAAACAAAGCGTATGGTTGCAGTATGATGATGTCAAGCTTGGCAAATAATTGAAGGTTACATGTAACTTGGTTGCGATACAACTCAGACTTTCGATGTTACAACTTATGAACTCTTGCTGTGGTGAAGCACTTTATTAACCAGTGTTCCCTGCAGTGAATAGTCTCCCTGTTTGATCTATCCTTGATCAAACGACAGATCTCTAGTCTTCTCCCGACTAGCGATCTTAACAAGCCTCTGTTAGTTCTTTCTAACTAAAGCAACTAACAAGGTTTTCCCCTTCAGCTTCCTAACTGAAGAAATCTCTACTATTCACGAACACTGAAACCTGACTCTTCACTTCTCAGAGTCTCAATCCTGACCTGCTCTTCCCTGAGCCTAAAACCCTGACTGACTCTAACTGTCACTTTTCAAAAACCTTAACTCTCTAAGCTCCTCCCACCTCCTCTTCTGCCTCGTTTCCATGGTAACACATTCCTAACAGCTAGGCCGCTCCAGCCTAAGGGCAACCAATGCAAACATAAATACAGTTATAAGCATATTATTATAAACACTTCTGTACACCTTCCCCCCCAGAAAAATTATTTTTGGACCATTCTCAATCCCGGAATGGCAAAAATAATTCCACATATTATCCAACAATATTTAAATACACAACATTTCTGAAAGGCAAACATATTATGGTTAAATACATTACAATTTATACATACATACAAACCTTTAACCTTACGAAATTCTAGATAAGGCGTCTGCAACTATGTTTCGTTTACCTGAAACATGTTTAATTTCAAATGTAAAATCCTGTAAACATAAACTCCATCTCAACAATTTGTTATTTGTACCTTTCACATTATCTAGCCATCTTA